ATATTTCCGTTTTTTATGTTTAAAAAAAGTGCAAAAAAATCTAAAAACCTGTTTTTGCTTTGTCATTATGGGGTATTGTGTGTAGATTGATGAGGGAAAAAAAACTATTTAATCCATTTTAGAATAAGGCTGTAACGTAACAAAATGTGGAAAAAGTGAAGGGGTCTGAACACTTTACGAATGCACTGTATATAATGAATTGTATTGAATTATAATAACTCTGTTTGCTGTTATTGTGGTGTGCTGGATCCTTTATTTGGAGTTGCTTTGGACACACACAGACACATACACTGAGCGTCAAAACAGGAAGTGCAATGTCAATGTCATTATGACATATCGTTTATTTCAGCCAATTACATAGAAAGTGGAACAAATAAACAAAACAGAATTGCATTTAGAAAAAACTGTGGTCGTACGATCTCAGACTGTTGTTTACATGTGGAAGTATGCAGAGAACCAAAAAGCTGAGCTTGGTCTGTTGAGTGGCCTGTTTATAAGCAGAATGGCATGTTTCAGACCCAGATTTCTATCCTAGCATTCTCTAGACAGAGAGGGGAAGAGATACGGCTTTTGTTTTGTTGTTGCATGTCGCGTGAGTTTTTCAGTATGTTTTCTGTGTTTGTGTGTGTTTTGCTGAGCCTGGAAGATCAGCGTTATAGCGCGATTTACATTTAAAGGTAATTTCCGATTGAGCCGACATATTCAGCGCTTAGCGTTAATGTGGTGTCCGTGGAAACATTGCCTGTAAATGTCAATTGCGCTATAATGCGCATCTTCCGCGGTCCAGATTGAATCTAGTCCTGAGTGTTTGTTTGTTGTCAGGGGGATTGGTCTGTGTCTGGTGTGTGTTCCCCATTCAAACCACAGGCATGACCCTAACCCACAACAGACTACCAATACTGCTCTGCTTTCGTATTAGACAAACCACACATGATCAGAGGCCCACAACAACAATACAGTATAACAACAATAATACCCTACAGAGGAGACCAGCAAATATGGCAAGGCTACGATGTAACATTGTTGAGTGGTTGTTGAGAGCAATTCCTTCGTCTTTCTCTCTCTTGCTTCCTAAAAGAGAAAAGGGTAGCTACAGATACCCATTAATGTGCTGTGACCATCCTAAGAGCTAGGGTCTCTCTCTCTCGCTCTCTTCCCCTCCATATAGGAATCTGGGTCTGAAACATACCATACTGCTTATAAACAGGCCACTCAACAGGAAATGTTGAAAATCTCAAACTCAGCTCTCTCTCCATCTTTCCCCCTCTCCCCATCTCTCCCTCCATGTCACGATCGTTATAATGAGTGGACCAAGGCGCAGCGTGATATGCGTACACGTGAAGTCCTCGGTCATGAACACAAACCAACACGGAACAAGATCCCACGAATCACAAGTGCACCAAAGGCTGCCTAAGTATGGTTCCCAATCAGAGACAACAAGCAACAGCTGATTCTCGTTGCCTCTGATTGAGAACCACCCCGGCCAACATAGAGACACATAACCTAGAACAGAACATAGGAAACGAAACATAGACACTACACAAAGAAACTAACACCCTGGTTCAACATACAAGAGTCCCCAGAGCCAGGGCGTGACAGTACCCCCCCCCCCAAAGGCGCGGACTGCGACCGCGCCAACATAAACCCAACAGGGGAGGGGCCGGGTGGGCATTCCACCTCGGAGGCGGATCCGGCTCCGGGCGTGACCACCACCCTCTAACAACCCCCCCGTAGCGCCCCTGGTCTGGTCTGGCCCCGCTGGCTGGAGCTGGACTGGACATCGGTGGAGCGGATTGCTTAGGCTCCGGTGTGGAGCAGCTGACCGGTACCTGACCAGGCACCTGTGAAACAGGCACGGGCTGTGCCGGACTGACGACGAACACCACAGGCTTGGTGCGGGGAAAAGGAATGGGACGGACTGGGCTGACGACGTGCACCACTGACTTGGTGCGGGGAGCAGGAACGGGCCGGACCGGGCTGACGATGCGCACCACTGGCTTGGTGCGGGGAGCAGGAATGGGCCGGACCGGGCTGACGACGCGCACCACTGGCTTGGTGCGGGGAGCAGGAATGGGCCGGACCGGGCTGACGACGCGCACCACTGGCTTGGTGCGGGGAGCAGGAACAGGCCGGGCCGGGCTGGCGACGCGCACCACAGGCTTGGTGCGGGGAGCAGGAACAGGCCGGACCGGGCTGGCTACGCGCACCACAGGCTTGGTGCGAGGGGCAGGAACAGGCCGGGCCGGGCTGGCAACGCGCACCACAGGCTTGGTGCGAGGGGCAGGAACAGGCCAGGCCGGGCTGGCGACGCGCACCACAGGCTTGGTGCGAGGGGCAGGAACAGGCCGGACCGGGCTGGCGACGCGCACCACAGGCTTGTTGCGGGGAGCAGGAACAGGCCGGGCCGGGCTGGCGATGCGCACCACAGGCTTGGTGCGAGGGGCAGGAACAGGCCGGACCGGGCTGGCGACGCGCACCACAGGCTTGGTGCGGGGAGCAGGAACAGGCCGGACCGGGCTGTGGAGACGGACTGGAGGTCTGGAGCGAAGAGCTGACACAACCCGTCCTGGCTGAATGCCTATTTTTTCACACTCTGTGTGAGGCATCAGCACAGGACGTACAGGGCTGTGTACTCGTACTGGCACTACAGCACGTGACACTGGTGCAGGATATCCGGGACCGAGGAGGGGTACTGGAGGCCACGAGCGTTGAGCCGGCACACTCCGTCCTGTCTGCATGCCCACCTTAGCACGACACGTGCGTAGTGCTCGCACAGGACGTACCGGACTGTGCCGGACCACTCGTGGCACAGTACGCAGCTCCGCATACCTCGGAACCTGCCCAGTCTCACGCTGCCTAGCCTGAGTATGGGGAGTTGGCTCTGCTCTACCTCTAGGCTCCGCCAACCTCCCTTCCAGCCCCCCAAACCCGGTGGCCTCCTCTCCTAATCCCCAAACTCGCCCTGTAGCTGCCTCCAGCAGCCCCGTCGTCCATGCCGTGTGCCCCCCCCCCCCCCCCCCCCCCCCCAGAAATGTATTGCGGTTGCCTCTTGCGTGTCCGACGTCGACCCGGTTGGCGCCGCTGCTCCTCTCTATGGCGCGCCTCCACCGTCTCCTCCCACGGACGGCGATCCATTCCGGCCTGGATATCACTTGTCATGTCCCCACAATGTTAACACAACCTATATAAATATGTTAGGAACTATTAAATACCATAAAAACAATATTCTGTGAGCATTCTTGTAACATCAGGTGAATGTTTTTTTGCACCCTAAAATAAACATTGTATAATCATCCGCACAACGGGACAGTTTTGGAGTTTTGGCAACACATATTTTGTGATGTCACCACAATATTCCCACCAGACTGTTCCCACAACCTAATGAAACATTCTGGGAACCTTTTAAAGAACAGATTAAATGAGTTCTGGGAAAGTTCTTGCAACGTCAAGCGAATGTCTTATACAAACACTACTGTTATGAGAACATTTGCCGCAACCTAACGAATGTTCTGGGAACTTTTACAGAACTAATTTTGGTTTGCTGGGCTCTGTCTTTAACCTTTGAGCGTGATGCTAATTGTGCTAAGTGCAGTGGCTTAATAGACTGGAAAATAGTCCCATAACTCTCCCATAGAGCCAGCTATGACCTTCTCGGAGACAACAGTCCACGGCCGTTCTCTCTCCTCCACTGGCTTTATGATATTAAATGTCACACCGTTGGGTTCCTCAGAATAATTAAATCAAATAAATTATAGCACCTAGGCAGAACCATCTTGTAGTCTAACCCAATTATTGTGCACTGTAAAGCTAATTATTAAGCATGATTACAATTAGTTTAATTTGAATAAATGTTCCCATTAGAGGGTTCATCCCAGTCACTGACCACCTCCTCCTCCTTCATATCTCTCTTCTCGCTCTCTGCCCCCACTTTCTCTCTCTTGTTCTCTCCATCCATCCCATCACTCCATCCATCCTTCACAATCTGACCTTCACAAAATGGCCTTCTCCTTCACCCCTTGTGGGCAGTAGAGCGTGGAACCTCTTACCTCCGGGATGACTCACATTTGTTTATGTCTGTGGTGTTTATGACTGGGGTGTGTTGTTGAAAATCTAGAACGTAGACTGAAAATGAGGAGTGCTGCTGTGCTTAAGTAAGATGTCTGTCTTTCTGTCCCATGAGATCTGTGTCTATGAGCTATTTCTAGTGTTTAGCCTTAGATTTTCTACCACATATTCTCAGTAGCCCTACTGTAGTGATAGAACTGCATTTGATTATCCTGATATTTGTTCATGCATTAATAGATGTGAGTCTATATGCTTAAGAGAGTCTAAAGGCCATGGACAGTTGTTTATGAACTCAAACAGTTATGTTCTTTATTGAAACAGGATACACATTTTAAAAGAAGGACGATATATGTATTTCAGGTTAAATTCAGTTATAAAATGATTTACACAACAATTTATATATGAAACATCTCCACAATTGTTAGATACATTAGTAGCCTATTTACAAATTTCAACATTAAACAGAGTTCCAATGCTTTCTGCCTTAGCCAACTTGTTGTCTTGCCAATATGTTTGCAAGGTAATGATATACAGTAGCTAGCATGTAGCTAGCATTGTTGAATGCAGAAACCATTATTTTACACACATCTCTAACAGAAAATCTGACACCTAAACAAAACAACCAGCGATGCAAGCAAACAACACACAAAACCACATAGATGGTGTGAAGCAGATTTTTCTTGTTTATCTTGTTGAGTCCGCTGAAATAATACGGGATTTGTTTAATGGATGTGGTTCAGTGAACTATGCTCTTGCCGGAAACCTCGAAGGTTCGTAGCTTGTGCCAAAACTTGCGCTCAGCAAGCTAACACAGTCTTGTGGCGCACATCAAAGGCCAAAAGGTCTATGTACTGTATCTTGCCAGGTCGCCTACACAAAAGTATATTTTCAAACTCAAAGTTCTTTCCTGGTTAAATAAAGGTTAAATAAGACATCTACAGCGGTTTCTCCCGGAATAGGATCTGGGCGTAGACCGTGTCAGAGCTGGAAGGGCTGGAGGCTAGAGGCTCAAGGATGGAGAGAGAAGACAGAGAGGAGGAGGAGTGGGGTTCAGGCCTGGGTCGTACTAGCTCCAACTCTGCATACGTCAGGCTGTCCTCCTCACAGACACTCGACTGGAAGAGAGGAGAGGAGTGGAGAGGGAGAGCTAAAGGTTGACATAGTTATAACCTCTCTCCCTATCATTTGCTGTCATTGAAGGTATTTGTTTTATAACAGGAGAACATTTGGTATTACAGGAGAACAGTCTGTGTAGTGGAAGAACTGGACAGGGATCTAAGGAGGGGGAATTTTGTGTAATGGTAGATCATTCGGTATAAAAGGACCTCTATCCCATGTCCTCAGATCCCCTTCCTGTCACACTAATCCAATCAGCAATCTGCGGCAAGCGACTCATTCACGTCCTGGCCAATCAAATTCAGACCAGGTGAATTACAGCCAATTAGAGCTTGGCTGGACCTCAACAACAATACCCTTTGCTACCAACAGATTGAAAAATTATTGGTGATCCTCCTATTTTTTGGTTGTGGTCAATATTTTTATGATAATTTTACAGTCAATGTAATGAAGACACAGCAGACTAAATAAATAATTGTGTTTGGGAAGCAATAAAAGCGACTAGAGGCTCATAACAGGAGGACAGAACAGCAATAATAACAGAAGAGAACACACACAACAGCCCTCTGAGACCAGCTCTAGAACTACCTTCTTAGCTTCTACGCCCAATAACTCAACAGAAAAATATAGGAAAATGAGCTTTTTCAAATGTAAACCTTATACAATTTGTAACAAAAAGATTAAACACAGAAATTTGTAATAAAGGATATGACTCAATAGGCAGAAATCCTGTAATGTAATAAATAATATAACATTATTAATGTGTTGTAATGGGCTGAGGGTGTGGGTGAACAATACCCTAACCAGCCTCCTGGGCTGGCACTTTAAGCGTAGAGGCTTCCTGGGTCTCTGTCTCTCTGCAGCTACAGGCACTGGAACAGAATAACATGATTGATTTCTACTAGGTCGAAACTGTAGTAGGTATTCTATGTTCTTGTTTATCTAGGATGATCTATCTATTCTCATAGAAATACTAGAATGGACATGGACAATGGTCAATGTTCTGTGCTGGTTGCGGACCGGCGGCCAGTTTGGGCATAGCCATGAATGTATTCATGGCTATGCCATGGTCTGAAGGGGTTTGACCATGTCAAATTGCCATGGTCTGAAGGGGTTTCCCCGTTCTAGTTATTATATTTGTATGCATATACTACTGTTGTGAGGTCATTCTAGAGTACATAGATGTATTGTACCTTTCTCTGGTATGTGTGGCGGTGTCTCCTCTGGTTCTCTGGGTGTGTCTCTCCTGCGTGCTTTGTGTCTCTTCTCCTTCCTGTGGATTCCAGGAGACGAGCTGGAGGAGCTCACTGAACTGGTCACCGTCTCTCCAGAGCTGGGGTTACACAGGAACAGCAGGGGTTAACATTAATGGGTGTTTAAGCAGCAACGCCCGTCAATCACCCTTGTAAGATATAACAGTTATTTTAGAAAGATGTAACTTTGGAAGTTGCCTAAATTATATTATTCTATGATCTTCCAAGTTATCTACAGTATTAATGTGAGTTTTAGCTATTGATCATGGAGTCTATGAATGAATGGTAAAGACTTACCTGCTGTCTGGACACTTGACCAGGTAGTAACTGGCTGTAGAGAAGAGAAGTCAGAGTTCGGGGTTAACACTGATGGTACAGCATTACTATGAAACACTGTTTCTTTCTGTAAGCCAGGCACACAACGCTATGAAACACAAGTGACGGGGAAGAAAAGGTGTAAGTGTAATTCCTGTTAACCTTTGAGTTTGTGTGTGTGTGTACCTTTTTTGAGTGTATGACGTGTATGCAGGTACTGGCAGGTGAGGACAAGCGTGAACAGGAAGATGGAGAGCAGTCCCAAGGAGCAGAGGAGCACTGCACACAAGTACACATCTGGAACACACACAATCGTTTTACTATCAAAGATAACACATCTGGAAGAGTAAGACAGGCACAGGAATGTAATGTTTTGATTCCAGGGTGGCTGATGTTGTCAATACAGGACTATGATCAGCTGAGTAAAGAGGCATGAGAAAACTCTACCTCCAAATAGACGCCACACTCCCTCATCGCTCCTGTCCAGTGGGATGTGCACTGACATAAAAAGACAACATTGGATACAGTAAGTGAAAAATCAGTAGACATGGGTAATATAAATGTCAAATACTTTTGGTTATTTTACTGCTGCTCTTTATTTATTTTTCTTAAAACTGCATTGTTGGTTAAGGGCTTGTAAGTAAGCATTTCACTGTAAGGTCTGCACCTGTTGTATTCTGCGCACGTGACAAATACAATTTGATTTGATTTAGGTGTGCTTCATTTTACTCACCAGTGTGCAAGGTGGGCAGAGTTAGCACTTTTTGAGACTTTTCAATTGGTTTCATTTGACTTGGAAAGCTAAATCAAGTGCACCTGAAGTTTTTGACATACTATTTTGTGTAGTGTATGTATTTGACCCAGGTCTGAACATTAACATTTCATCTAATGTAGTCTAAGAAACTCAATGAAAAGAGTAGAGTACAGTGTTTGCTGAAGACAGAGGAAAACTGAAATATGTATGGTAGTGAAATGGTACATTCTTTGTGTGCATTCACCCATGGCAGCAGACAGACTCCCTCAGTGGTTTACAGAAATACACTGAAATGCACCCAGGCCCAGACCGCCGTCAGACTGAGGCAGGGCATGCCAAACCCACACGCCCCCACAAACAGGGCTGGCTCTCTTCCTGTCCCTGGAGAGTGAGGGTGTTCCCCCATCTACAAGTGTACTGAGCTTGTGTGGGCGTGCGCATATGAGTGTGTGCATGAATATGAACGTTTGTGGATATGAGTGTGCCTGATAAGGCTTCAGTATGGGCCAAGGGCATTTAGGAGAAGAGAGGAGAGGAGTGAGATTGAGGAGAGATGGAGGATAGACAAAGGAGAGGAGAGATGAGAGGTGTTCTACATACTTAGCCTCTGAACCTGTAAATGGGATTTTAATATGCCTCTTTAACACAGGGAGTGATACAACATTAATACTGACTCACTTCAGTTAACCTGAGATGCCTTTCTATTCTTACCACCCATATAGCATGTCTGCTCCAGGTACATTGAGATAATGCTGTCATGTTTACAATTTTACCTAAATATTGACATTTAGAGTATCTCAGTAATAGTTAGTGATATACTGTAGAGATAGAGAGCATACAGCTGTGTTTGACTGAACAGAGGCTAACCTTGCTGATAACTGAAGTGATGGGGAGGTGAGGTACAGGCTTCTCAGTGAGGTGCTCACACAGACACAGACACACACACACAGTACTAAACATTTACGTTTGAGCATCTTGAAGAACGTTCTGGCCTTAATGGCCATGTACTCTTATAATTTCCACCCAGCACAGCCAGAAGAGGACTGGCCACCCCTCAGAGCCTGGTTCCTCGTTAGGTTTCTTCCTAGGTTCCTGCCTTTCTAGGGAGTTTTTCCTAGCCACCGTGCTTCTACATCTGCATTGCTTGCTGTTTTGGGTTTTAGGCTGGGTTTCTGTTTAAGCACTTTGTGACATCTGCTGATATAAAAAGAGCTTTATAAATACATTTGATTTATTGATTGACATGGGCCTTGTCCGAAATCTGTCTTGCCTACTACTTTCTAAAACTACATACTGTGTACTTATCATACTACATACTATTTACAACGTACTGTTTAGTAAAACTGTATGTAGTAAGGAACAAATATCAACATACTAGGCTCACCTATACTGAGGATGCATAATCTAATACGCAATTGCATTGTTTCCCGCCATTCGTTCATTTTGGTACTGTGCATACCCTTATCTGATTATCAGCTGATAATCAGCTGTTGTCAAACACACATGGATCTGAAAAGACGATTCTCTTCATCAATAGCGTGCAGCGAATTCTACAAGATGAAAAGCCGAAATGATTATGAAGTCCTGGCATTGAAAGCATACTACATTTTCGAAATATCACATGGGCTACTATAAAACGTTCTATTTTCGCATACCCAATCAGCGTACTATTTAGAACGCAAGTACTGGTATTCTGACACAGCCATGGCTTTCAGCTGTTTCTACTAGTCCTATAGCTTCTAGATCAGACAGATGTGCATTAAGAATATAAAAGCATTTGCTGTAGTCAAAAGGCAGTTGAGAGATTGGATGTAACAGCACCAATGATGTCATATAAACATACTGAATGAAAGATTATGTTCATGTCTATGAACAGCACTGACTGTTCTCCGCGACCTAGTTAAAAAGAGCAGAAGTCAGCATTTGGCTGTAGACAGTGGTCTGGGTTGAGTGTGTGGGCGAGAGTTGGCCATCTCTCTACTTGCTACAGCATCTCTGCTCTGACTGGTTTGGGTTAGGGTTAAGTGTGTGGGCAAGAGTTGGCTATCTGGTATAGCATCTTTGTTCCGAGGTGAGTGAGTGACCTCTCAGCAGGGTGTAGTCTTTGTTTTCTGACTGAAAGGGACTGAGTTGAACAGTCAACTACACTTCATGTCCTCCTCTCTCTCTCTTCTCTCCCCCCTCTCTCTTTCTCTCTCTCTTTCTTTCTCTCTCCCCGTCTCTCTCTCGATCTTCCGTCAGACTGTCTTGTGTGTGTGTGTGTGTGTGTCTCTTCAGTAAGTACATGTCTGAGATACCAGAGGTTTATTGGTTCCTCCAGCAGGGCAGAGCTCTGGTCCCGGTTTCCCAAAAACATCTTAAGGCTAAGTTCATCGTTAAAATCTGCGTAGAAGCATTGTTATTAACATTGCACTTGAAAACGCTTGTAATCTAACACTTGCTTCAGACCACTCGTAGAAAAGCTAAGTGCGTCGTTAGATGCTTTTTTTTTACCCCCCCGCTTCACTTTATACACAGAGATCTCTGCTAAACATAGAATCACATGGTTTATCCATCTCTATGTGAACGATGATAACTTAAGAGCAAAGTTAACTACAAATACAAAGTTGCCAATGTATTTGCAATTGATACAAACAAGCGACATAAAAATATGCTTAAAATGAAAACAGAAATGACCGCATTCAAATAGAAAGAGTGAACTATAGGCCTATTCTAATCAATTTAGTTCTATTTTTTTTATTATTATTTGTAGGCTATTGTCTATATTTGTCTCAATATATTTTATGATGTGTAGCCTAACATGTGCGCAATGATGTGCCAAATCTGTGATTTTGTGCATTTTCATTGGGTAAGCATTATAATAAGCCGCCTCAATATTTAGGTGGTAATATCTCTGTAGGAGCTGATCCGTTGTCAGTATTGTAAAATAATTATTATGTTAAGGAAAGATTTGAATGGAGAAAGCTGATCCGTGAGCAGCGCTCCCTTTCTTTCGATCCTACTGTATAAGTATTGACACATGCTCCAATGACGCACTTAGCGATCATTCTCTTTGCGTGGTGTTTTGGGAAACGCATGTTACATATTTGGCTGTTGTAGGAAATATGCATCGTTAAAACACTCGTAAGCCTAAGTTCCATCGCTATCGGGAAACCGTGCCCAGGGCATTTTTTCATGCCACGATCAACTCATCCTGCTGTGTTGAGAATCCAGGGTCATATTCATTGGGCACTAAACAGAGAAAAACAACCTTACTGAAACAGGGAGGGACTACCTGAAGTTATCCAATAAGACACATTCATTTTCCATGTTTCAAGTTTTATTTTTTGTACAGAATACACATGGTATACACTGTCCAACTAAATGCTTCCTTGCAGGTTCCTACTTGACAATGCAACAACAATAAGAAATAATAAAAGATAAGAATACGAACATAAAGTAAATGGCTCAGTAGAATAGAATAATCATTTTAGCTTAAGTATAATACAGGAAGGCACAATTTTAGTCCAATATTTACACATGTTTTGGGGAAGGGGGATTGGGGGGCAAGTATTTAAAATGTGCAGTATTTAGCAATAATAATAATAAGGTTTGCCGTAATGAATATAACCCCAGTCTAAATGAGTTTGCCTGGGGATCCAGGACCCAAGTGCAAAAACAAGCTAGCTGTCACACCAGCCTTCGCTTTGGCTCACCCTCCTGTCCAGCTCAGGCGTCGCCGGCCTTCTAGCTGCTGCCGAACCTACTTCTGGCAAACGCCCTTCACTCATCAACCCTCTATGGTGCTTAAATAAATTCAGTAGTTCTAAACCTGTGACTGCCTCCTGCCTACTCCTCTCTACACCAGTGACAGAATGACCGACCTGAGAAAACTGGAAGCAGCAGGACATCCCGACCTCTCCGCTGTAGGAGCGAAGCTCCGCCACCACGACTCGTGCCTGGAGCGCTTCGGGACTGCCATGGACGAGGTACTCCGGGCCGTACGCCAACTGCAGTCTACACCACCACCTTCCCAGCTCCCCGCGGTCGTTCTAGCCAACCCACCACCATCTACATCACCCGGTCCGATCAGCAACGTCCACCTGCCCTTCCCGGAGCGGATTGACGGCACCCCAGCTCACTGTAGGGGGTTTCTCCTGCAGTGTGACCTCCACCTTGCCCGTCATGCCGGGACGGCCTCCGAGAGGAACAAGGTGGCCTTGGTGATCTCGGTGCTGACAGCCCGGGCTCTGGAGAGGGCGCACGCCATCTGGGAGAGGGACGGTCCAGAAGTGCAGTCCTATGAGCGCTTCACCCAACAGAGGGCCGAGAGAGAGGTGAGCGTCTCCTCCGTCTACGCCAGGGGTCCAGGACAGCGTCGGAGTACACTCTGGATTTCCGGACGGTGGCTGCGTCCACTGGCTGGAACGACCAGGCCCTGTTGACGGTTTTACGCAGCGGGCTACAGGCGGACATCCAGACCGAGCTGGCCTGTCGCGATGAGTACATCATGCTGGACTAGTTCATCGCCATGGCCATCCGCCTGGATAATCTCCTGCGTGCCCGTCGTCGCCCATCCCGAGGGTTCGGGTCTCTCCTAGGAACCTCCAGTGAGACTGAGCCCATGGAGGTGGGCACAACGCACCTTCCCCCTGCGGAACGTCAACGCCGCCGCCAACAGGGTCTCTGCTCCTACTATCGGAACACCCCTGGAACACCTGTCCCAGAAGGAGAACCAGGCGAGGAAGCGACAGACCGAGTAGCGCTCCTGC